TTAAATACCTTTACATAAAAACATGAATCTTACATCCAAAAAGGAGAAATACACAAATCTTCATTAGCTTATCATAGTTGGAAACGTAACAAAAATTTGACTGAAAAAATTATCAATCCAGTTTCTTCATCGGTAAATTGCATTTCCTTGAAGCTTTTCACATTCACAAAGATTTACTTTCTTTAGTTAATGACATCAGTTTCAATCTAGTCCTTCATAAAGCTTGGCAGATGGCTTTACATTCATGTCTGCTTAGCTCTACCTATTGTTTCGGATATAAACAGGATCATCGCTTCTCTCTTCTTTACTCCTGAAGAAGAGGGACTTGTGTCTGATCACAGTATTTTATTTAAAATCTTTGCAGAAATAAGGTTGCTGTTTTGCCTAAATTTAAATCTATTCTTGAAGTGATGGCGAAAAAATTTCCACCAGAATAAAAGAAACAAAAACCCGCTTGTAAGGAAGTTAATTAGATTTTCGAATTGAATACATAATTAAAATGTAAATAACATTTTGCTCTTTTAAGTCAGCATTCTTTTTTCTTCTGTAAAAAATAATCACCAATGGAATTATCATGTATCATGACAAAATTCTCATTTATGAAGTTGTCCAGCAGGTCTTTTCAGCTTTTCTAATATATATATATATATATATATTTTTTAACAGAGCAAACCTCGTTTCTTGCATGAGACTCTTAAACAAGTAGCGTACTCACTGACCTCTTATCTGTCCTTCCGCTCCTTGAGTTTGGTATTTCACTCTTAAGACGCATGAGGATTTCACAGAAGGTCAAACATATTTCTTCCAAGCAGTAAAATTGCAAATTTCTTCGATTGTTAAAGTAAACAACATTTGCAATAAGAGTTCTGGGTTTTCTGATTCGCTCTCTGTTATTAAAATCATTAGCTAAATTAATGAACGTTTAAATAAATGACAAAAGCTTATACAAACATTTATAGTGATTGAAGTAAATAGTAGGGCATCCATAACTGGCTAAATAAATTATGATTCAAATCAAAACTAGTTGAGTAACTTTATAACCGCATCATAAAATATCTTAAATCTTAGGTAATAGGAATTAATGCCTTCAGTATTTAAGTGTTTCAAATCTCCAAGACTTCCGGCTTTACTGTCAGCACATGAAAAACTCAGTATTAGTATATAAGGTATTCCCCCCTTTTTCGCACGCCTTCGTGGTGTGGTGGTCTGCACGCTGGGCGCGTATTTCAGAGGTCCGCGAATCGATTCCTGGCGAAGGCGTTTGATCATTTTTCATCTCCCCGGCTTTTCCAATTAACCTAATGTCTTTACAACTCGCGCCCGAACTAAAAGAGTAATGGTTAATGATTCTCCTGGCCCAGGATTTGGCGACTGGGTCCCTTAAAAACCCCAGTCGCTCTTTAAAAAGAGGCGTATGAAAGTTATTTCTTCCCCCTTATTGGCATGCCTTCGTGGTGTGGTGGTCTGCACGCTTGGCGCATATTCCAGAGGTCCGCGATTCGATTCCCGGCGAAGGCGTTGCTAATTTTTCATCTTTCATGCTTCCAAAAATGTCCTAATGTCTCTACAAGTAAATTGCAGATGTTAGTAAATTGGGAGAAAAATCAAGGCAACTGTTGCAAATTAAATACCTAAAAGACGTTGCAAATGGGGGAATGCACAAAACATTTGCGGTATTGAAATTATGAATAAATCATGAGCTGTGTATGTAATTAAAATATTGTAGGTATCGATATAATTGCCCATGGAGTACATTCTTAAAATTTCTCCATGAGCTATCAATAAATGAAATGATTTAATTTAATATCGAACGAGGAATAAAAGTGACCTAGATACCCATGCGACAGAGTTTTAACATCAGCTTAAATCGAAAGACAAAAACAGCTTTAACAAACTGAGGTTTTGAAACTTGCATATAATGGGTTTTGAAATCTAAACAACAACAACAACAACAACAAAAAAAAAAAAAAAAAAAAAAAGAGACCGACAGAAAGGGGGAAAATATATCTAGAAAGATAATGCCTATCTTTTTTGAAGAATGGCTATTTCTATTTATGATAGAATCTAACTTTCGCAAATTTTAGTAGCTTCAAGAACAATAGCAGGAACTTAATTTATCTTTCAACATTAAAAATATAAGAATCTAATTCCTAGAAATAAAGGGGGAGATTTAAATAAGCATCGAAGTCATGTTTGCGAAAACTGAAACTATGACGAAAAAGAAACCATTGATCCTAAGCCTATAGCAGCTGCAGATCTAGTACATAACAATTACACAATCATGAATAGCAAGTAGTTCTCAGTTGCAGCTGTTTGAGGATAATTAAATCAAATTCAAGTCATATGGTAAACGTTAAAAGAATACATAATTAATTTTCTAGAGAAATTTTATTAAGGGGCTATTTTAAACATCAGAGAGAACCCGGAATTCATTAAATCCCTTTATTCATAATGGATCTGAAGGCAACAGAAAAGAAACACGGTATTCCCGCGGACTTATAATAGGATGTGGAATTTGATTGCAAAATATTCTGGATTTATTGTTTCCAACCTTTAAACTCTCTATCGTGTAAATAAATATTTTCTTTTGAAACATTTCGAAAAGCAGAAATGATTAGATGCACATGCTTCAGTCACGCGATAATAGAAAGGGCGTTGAACTTGTCTGTTGTGCCAATGGGACTAAATACACTAACTTTTCTCACATGAGAATAGAAAGGTCATTGGCCCTATGAGCAGCACTGGCACCCACCTTAAAGGCAGATCTGCGATAATCACATGCAGCTGTCAATAACAGTATGAATGTAAAAATTATAGTCAATTTAATTTTAATCTAATGACTGTAATGTACTTCAAAATATATTTCTATTTTCTGTTATTCAAAATGCAATTTTGTTTTTCTTGTACAAAATATAACTTTATTTTCATTGTGTTTTAAACTTCAAATCTGTTGTTTCCATTTACAGGAGATAATTTAAGCTTAACACTTCACTACTTAATAGCACGTGTTAATCTTTTAGCTTTAACTGCATTAGACGTTTTATAACTTTAAATTTCTTTGTGAGGAAAGTTAATGAGACCTGCATAGCTTTTATTCTGGAAGATTGTATTACTTTAATCTATATTACTATGTTTATATATCTTCAGCTTTATAGCTGGCTTTTTCTTTGGATGCACTACTTTAATTGTTTAGGCAACTTTCAAAACACACATATGTTTATTTAATAGTGTTACGGAAAATATTGTTGAATGCATATATACGGCTTAACCGGCTTAAAGATTAAAATTGCTTTACAAAAGTTAGAAGAAAAATGTGTCAATCTATTTAACACGTAAAATTGCATCTCAGTATCGCATTCAGAGTGAAACTTCAATAAATCACACTGTTATTTTTAATGCTTACGACGGTAGTCAAAACCCTTTCGCTAGACTAATTTTATCAAATTCGTTTGCTATAATTAATGAACACTGAAAGCGGATTAAGCCATAAACTCAGTTCTTTCTTCGAGTTGTATAGTCGTAAACAGGCCGGATTCAAGTATAAGCTACACAAGCTATAACTTAAAAATTAAAATATAATATAAACGTAGTATTAAAATATAGTATAACATGGCTTATATTTTATAGTAGACTTATAAAGGGCCCCATATCTCAAATAGCTTAGGGCCTTATCAAGTCTAAATACGGCTCTCGTCGTAAAATATACTGAAAATTCGTATCGCTAATATAACAGCAATAATAATCACGAGACGATGATATCGGAACTCTAATACTGAATTAAAATTGGGTATAAGAGCACATATTTAATAATTCACATTAACTATGGTTTTTAAATTACATGCACATTAAGTTTTTAATTTTCATAAATGTGATATCTAATTCAGTATATTGAACTGAAGCAAGCATGATGTATTCCTGTGAACTATACCGTTTACGCCATTCGAATGAGCTAGATTTTGCAAACTAGCAGATCTTTTCCTTTACAATAAGACAGAAAACATCATGAGACTTTTAGCTTGTTGCCGTTTCACGAATACTTCTTTTCTGCTAAGTTCCGTTTTCCCTACTAACCTTGTAGGCACATTAGAATTTTCGGGCCAGCACCCCCCCCCCGGATTTGAGTCATTTATCGTCCAACTGGTAGTTGGATGTATAACCGTTTACAGCAAGAGAACACTCAAGGGAGGTCGTGATAATTCTTTATATTCTCCCCCATTTAAAGGACAACGGCAGACAGCCCCGAGACTTTGCGACGAATTATCGGCCTCCACAGTTTTATTCAGGCAAAATCAAGAAACATAAGAAATCTGTTTATTGCCGGAGTTTTCAACTTTTAGATGGATATACTATCATTTGTACCCCGAGAGTATGCGCGGAGGAATGCAGGAATTCCTTATAAGCTCTTTGCGAATTCTAAAGAAAGAACCAAAATACCTGAATAGGCTGATTAGCAAATAAGCTTTTATTTCTTTAAGGTTCAGTTGCTGCTAATTTCCTGAATCTGAGATTTCCTTTCTTTACATACACAATTAGAAAATTTTTAATCACATGCTAAATGATGCTTTTCTAATAAGTTTCTAATAAATCAACTTAGATAACCTTATATTTTAGCGCTTGAATGCAAAGATCTGTAAAGGTAAATTGTTTTGAAATTTGTTTTTTATTAGAGAAGTAAATGATTATTAAATATTTGGTGGGAATGGGAAAAAAGAAAGCTGCGGGTGGAGCGTCACGCAACGATTTAAATGAATCGAGAAAAAATTTTATGAAGCTAGAAAGCAGTTGCAGTGTATTTTAGAAGAGAAAAATTTCTTCATAATGCTTTCTAATGTGACAAGCATTTTGTGGAATACATTCTATTTAAAACCTTACTTCATTAACGTAGGCCACAGTGCTTCGTATTGTTATTATCTTTACACTGTTGCTTGAAGCAATTATAGATTTAACCCATTGGCAACAGAAAGGCAATGAATAAATTAAAAATTTAAAAATTATCTTACCTCATGATTTCGGTACTGATCAATCGCCCACACAGTAGGTATGTGAGTTGCGAGCATTTGTGGCAACGTAAGGAAGGCATTGCATGCACGTGCACATATCAAGCGAGTTTTCCCGACAGCTGTATCCCCTACTACAACGCATTTTATAATTTCCTGTCGCGTGTTGTAGTCATCTACATTATTCCATGACATTCCTCTTGGTTTAATGCTAAAAAAAAAAGTAATGCGTAAATATATGTATGTTTACTAATACATCCACATTCTTCGGAAAAACATTTGTCTTGCATTAGTTAATATGAAGGAGCCGTATGGTAATATTTTAATAACGGCATCAATATTTTAAGATGGAAATTTTCTAAATAGCCAAAGGTAATAAACAATCTACAAGTAAATGCAAACAACAATAATAAATCAAGTAAATACATTGTCTAATCAAAGTAATAAAAATAAATAAATTATTTCTAAATAGTCAAAGATAAATAAATAATCTAGTCAGAAGTGACTGAATAGCAATTTTTTCTGAAGGTATAGTAAAAGAAAGCTTCTTTAAATCTTTCTTTAAAATAAAACCCTTTTTTTCTGAATTTTATCACATTAATCTGCAATAATTAGGTCCTAATTACACAAATTATACTTCCTGAGTAAGTACAAAACATATTTTAACACAATACTTAATATTCAAATAATATGCATACTCATAAAAAGCATTCATATTGCATTTATATAAATTACAATAGTGAAATATCGCAGCTATTTAGATATAAGCGTGAAATCTATCTGAGGGCACTAAGAATGATGTTTTGGGTACTGTTTAAATAATAAGAGCATGGTATTTTTCTAGTGCAACCAGTGAGAACATGTGTGTTTATCTGTATATAGCAGATAAAAGAATATTAAGCATAAGGATGGCACAATACAAAGAACAATTTATTGTTTCCATGGTAACGAAAATGAGATAGCTACAAGTTCAAATAGTAATGAGTTGAGATTTTTCTTAATTTTAATGAACTTGAATTTTATTCTGTATTTCGAAAGACTATAATTTCAACAAGATTTGCAATTATTTTGATTAACATGAATTTATGATTATGGTTAATTCAGTAGTATTTTAAAATTGTTCTTAATCGAATTTTAAAATAATACAGGATTGATAGTTACTGCTATTTATTTTTATGCTAAGTTATAATACTCTGGCCTTTGAAAAATGTAAATAAGAGATCTAAAACATCTATTCTGTAAAAGGGCAAGCAGAAGGAAGGTTATCGCCGATAACTCTCTAGAAACGACTTTTAAATCACTAATTCTTTCTACGATATTCATATTAAGGTCAATATTTCTAGAATTATTAAAACTTGAATTTGAATTTTTTAAAAAGCATAAAACATGATTTTTTAACTTTGGGAAAGAAATAATTAATATTAAAATATTTCCTTCGGTAAGCATAATTTTTTTTAGGTTAGCTAAAAGTTCTTAAATGTGAAGCTGAACATTATAATTAATATTTTTAATAAAGAAGTTATGATTATTTTAGGAAATTGTGGAAAGTTATAAATTACAAACGAAGCAGTTTTAAAGTTATTATGACCATTATTTTTAAATGTACTGACATTTAACTTAGCTTCTAGTTAAATTAATATTTTGCTTTGCCTAAATTTCAGTTAAATCAAAGTTTTGAAATGTAAAAGTCTTGCATTAGAGTGAAGTGACTGCTACACCTTTCAAGAATCATTTTTAAATTGTAATTGCATGAATTATTTAAAAAAATATTCACCCTTTCGGAGTTGTAAAAACAATAACATGAATAAGGTTTCCTTTTTTTATAATTTAGCTAATAGTAGACACAAAAACAAATTGTCATTTATCGCAATTCGACTTTAAATTTTAATTTGAAAATTAAAAGTAAATTTTTAATGACCCTGCTAAAAAAAAAAAAAAAAAAAAAAAAAAAAAAAAAAAAAAAAAAAAAAAAACTTTCGATATTTTTGATTGAAAAGAAATTTAACCATTAAAATATGCATGAAAAATTTATTATTTTTCAATATACTTACCAAAGATTACTGAAATCTATACTCTGAAGACGATTTTAAAGTTGGTACTCAGATATGATTGTTTAAGAGTCTCGATCTGATCCTTAACGTTTTAAAAGTGACGTGCGTAACTTTGTCTTCGTGTTTCTGAATTCATATGTTCATTAGAAGCACTGACAGCTAAGAATAAGGAAACTTTATCTCCTCACAGTTTTGTATAGTTTTTGAAATAGCCCATCTACTGTAAATCTTATCAGGATTAGTTGAGGAGGTCATCATCGCGCCAAGGTTGGGCATGAAAAGATCTTTCGTCGCCAAGTTTCGTTGTAGAGATGAACGCGACTTCACGGCGGTCAAAGGTGATTAAAAAAATAAAATAGTAGTTTTCTTTGTTTATTTACAAAATTAGCTGAAAATGATACCAGGTTTTCTTTTAATACTTCTACTGTTTTATTTAAATGAACAGATTTTATAAAGCATTTTTTTTTTCTTTAAAAGCTTAGGCCATATAAAATTTTCCATTAGACGATGTAACTTGGCATTTTTAATTGAGCTATCTCTACATTACATCAGGTTTGATTACACTTCAACAAGACAATGCAATAAGTTTGCACAGTTGAGCTTACAGTTTCTTTGAAGATCTAGATGGTTCTTTGAAGTCTTTCTAAATGAAGGACAAAATTACTTATAGTCTTAAATTTAAATCTGCAGTCATGAAGTTAAAAGACAGTGTTAAAAGGAATATGTACGCAGTTTAGTACTTTTTGCTTACGTGCAGAGAGAGACGCATAAATTTTAAATTATTTTAAAACGGTCATGAAAAACAATTCATAAATAATAAAAGTATACTTAAATTAATAATATTTAAATAATATAATAATAATAATACTTAAATTAACACAATCAGGATTATATGCACCAAAAAACTCACACTTACCTTTATAAATCCTTAACAGTCCCTCGGTGAATCCGTGTTCTTTGGTATATAAGTTCCGAAGAAAATGGATATGCTGTTCAACACCTTCAGAGTTGCTCATAGTTTCCAAATCTATGTCGATCAGCGTAATCTTACTTTTTAACTATTCCATGTTCTGTAACACACACAGGTAGTCCTCTAAAATTAATGATTCCGCATTTATCAATGCCCTCCAATTACCTCCTAGATATTTATCCCCAAAGCGATACATTTCGTCCGTTAACTCTAGCACGTGGTTCCGAACTACAGATGTATCCATTTTAGCTGTAGGAAATTCGTTCCTCACCATAGCACGTGGTCGCTAATCCTTGACGAAGATTTCCACTATTCACTGCACACAAAAGTCACACAATATAGAAGTAATTCGCATACAAGTAAATTCGATACGATGGAATAACAGCTTAGAATCCCCCCTAAGCTCAAAAGAGAAAAACTCTCGTCGTATAGTAAGTAATGTTTGATGCTTGTACGAATTTTCTCCTGAGTAATCGTATTTATATTAGACTTTTCAACCCAAAAAATAGTATCTAAGATTTGATACACTTTTTGCGTGTTGTTGCTGCCAGCCTGGGAGTTTGAGGCAATTAAACTAGGTGGTCTAAAGATCTTGTCGTATACATTCTTTAAGCACTTTCCATATTTTTCTATTGCGTTCGTACAGTAGTTCGCTTAGAGACGCCGTGTGTGAAGGTTTTTCCCTTGTCGCTCCGTTCTCTACCCCAGCATTCGCGGAAATACGCAGCGCATCTAGCTAAAACCACCTGCAGTGAATAGCCAACATCTTAAGGAGCACATCGATGCAAATATTTTCAAGATTGGTCCACCGTTTAATTAATTACAGATTAATTGCTTCATCTACGCTTCGAATACCCAAGTAAGCCTTACAACGCGTATTTGATCGCCCGCCCAGCAGTCACCTTTCATCGATGAGCCTGGATTTTCATACTGCTAGACGCTCCACATCTTCACGAGTATTTTGAGGGTAATTTCATAGCAGTGAGATAATTAGAAGTCGCGAAAATTAATTTTTATATGATTTACCACGTTTTAATTTGGTGAACTCTGACCTTTTCCCACTCCGACGGTCAACCGGATGTCATCTACCCCCCGTCGTCCTCGAATTGAAACCAGTCTACAAAGGTAAACAAGAGGTATTGGAGTAATACTAATCAGCCTGCTAATTAAGCCCCTAATTGGCGTAGCATTTTGGAATTAACGGCATCCTTCAACTCAAGCCCCAGGAGGAGGAAGTTTCAAAATTTGGAGAAAATCGGTCAATAACTTCCGAATTCACTAATTTCTTCAGCAATTTTTGGGACTTAGGAAATTCTTCAATTTTTGCGATAATTATACAGTGCAGTGTGAGCATGTTTACCCAGTCCCGGATATAAAGGGGGGCAAGCCCAGTTTCTTGCATCGGGCGGCAACTCTTGTGGGCGGCAAATTCAAATATAACGCTGGACCGTATTTGGTGTGTTGTTCACTAAAATAGCTCTCTAATTTTAGTACAATGTTATTAGTTTTAAGGCCAAGTTTAAAAACCTCTTCTAAGAAGATTTATAATTAAATACTATGAACCCTTTTAAAGGAACATGAGTTAAAATAAAGTTAAGTACAGCCGATTACAATTATAAATATAAGATCAGGAAGACTCCAATAAAGGAACTCCAGGCGTCACTGATAGAATCAGACTGACCCTATCAGTAACGTCTGGAGTCCTATCGTTTCCTGTCCGGGCGGGGTGTATTCAAATGAGAAATAGAACGATAGCTTGTTGAAGAAAACGCCTAGTTTTCATAACAACGTCTGCTGGGAAATGGAGAAGCATTGTAACTATTTTCTAAGAGCTAACTCAAAAAATTAACCTTGGGCCACCCTGGACAAATGCAATAATTTAAATTAATATTCGTCAAGTATATACAAGACACCGTCATTATGTCTTCAAGATGAAGCAAGGCATTTAGATTTTTTTTGAAGCCATTCGGCAACTTAGGCTCACCTTTGGTTTGAATCGAGACCATTTATTTAGGACTTTTCAGTGTAATTATAAATTTTTAATTATTCTTATTAAGGCAATTCATAGTGAATTTCTTCAGATTAAAAGAAACCATCTGCGCTCCGAGGGGGAGAAAAGCGGAATATAGAAAGCAAGCCAAAGATAAGGCCAAACAGAGAACAAATTTCAGCTAAGATGAAAAAATAACTACCCGGAAGTAAACCGTAAGACCCTGCCGCAATTCCGATTATGTTGAGATTCTAGAGGGTATTAATATTTCTTGCAATTTGCCAGACCAAACATGACTGCGTATATCATCCCCAAACAATCTACAAATCAGCATTTGAAAGAACAACCTTCATCGACATTACACGAATAGCTGAAGGACATGAAACAGTGATATAAAGATTTATTCATTTATATGGGGGCGAGCAGCAGAAAGACAAAAATCTAAAAACTTTTTATTTGTTGGACCCATGCAGTTGGCTGGTCATATAAAAAAATGAACGATTACCAACAATCTTTCTTAAGCAGTCAATCAGTATTATTAGTCGGTAAACATCCAAAAAACGTAAACCTCAGTCCTTTTGAACGTGATGGCAGACATTTGACATGTGATACAGAACATTAGTATGTAATGAAAAGTTTAGAAGATCTTGGTTTACATATTCTAAAAACAAGAATGCAATTTTTTGTACACCCTGCAAGATTTATCAGAAACATGGTGCTGCCGCTACACCGTACTACAGGCTTCATTAATTGGAAAAAGTTTTAGCAAGATTTAACTGAGCACGAAGCGTCTGGAATCCACAGAGGTGCATGATAACGTGGAAAATTCGAGTTCAACAAATGAAATCGTGGGAAGGCATCGATCACGACACTGAACGACTCATTCACACAGAGAAAAAATTGAGAGAGATTCTATATAGTCATGGATGCGGCACTGTATCTTTCAACAAACTGTCGTTCTTTTCTTGGATCTGACGAAATCCCAAGTAGCCTGTTCACAAAGCGTCTTCGACCTAGCGAAGGAAATTTTCTAATTTCATCTCCGCCTGCCAAACATAATTCAACTCTTAAGTACCAGTCAAAGCACTTAACAAAGGGAAAGGAATCATATTTATCAAAGATGGTTCAAAATGAAGTTATTAAGGCAAAACAGTCTGAAGTAGCATTTTAAACGATATTAAAGAAGCCAAATACTACATAATAATGCTCGATTGCATTCCATATGTGCCTCCTGCAGAAAAAATTGAACCAGGTGATTCAATATGTAAAAACGTGTGGTGATGTGTGTGAGATAAAGGAAAATTTAATTGATTTCATAGAAGTTGGTGGAAAGATAAGAGAATGTATTTCTCCAATGCATTGTAGAAGCTTAGTGTCTTAATTGACACTTCATGGTTTAGATATTGGACTATGTCGGTGTCAGTCTTACGACAACGGGTCTAATATGGCTGGCATTTTTAAAACAGTACAAGCTAGAATTACAGAAATGAATAAGCTGGAGGAATTTGTGCCATGTTTGGCTCCCTCCTCGTATCTTGTCGGTGTGCATTCTGCTTCTGCTAAATCTCGTCATTTTTTTTATTATTTGTTAACTTAATTTCAGATATGCCCTGTGCAAAACCGTAGGGTTTTTATTATTTTAATTAACCAGCTATTTATAATTTAAGCCCTTCCTATCACTTCTCCGTTTCCGTTTTTTTCACAACAAATGCGCTGGAAAGTATTTAAGTCGAGTGTTTTAGAATGTAATATTAAACGTGTTTCTGCTTCTCAAAGCCACGTTACTAGGTTTCGCCAACTCTGGTAAGATTGTAATTCTTTATATTTGTATTTTTCAGCTGACATTTAATTATTACCCCGATGAGAAGTTCCAAGCCACCTTAGAATTTAAAATAAATTGTGTAGTCTTTGATTCCTAGACTCAGTTTTAAATTTGAATTTGACTGTTACTTTAAGGTACATCGCCATAATTGGTGGCTGATATTGTCTATAAGGTATTTCTCCCGCCTCCTTAGCGTGCCTTCGTGGTGTAGTGGTCTGCACGCTGGAAGCATATTCCAGAGGTCTGTGGTTCGATTCCCGAGGAAGGTGTTGCTCATTTTTCAAGTTTCCTGCTTCCAAAATAAGTTCTAATTTCTCTACATGTCAAGCGCAAAAGTTGCGTTTATGTTCAAGTACTTCGATTTGTGATAAGTGTTAATTCACAGTGTAATTAATTGATTACTCTTTGCGTGTGTGTTTACATAATACAAAATCCATAACATTACTCTCCGTAGCCTATGCAGTAATCTGCG